AAGAGGCTACTAGCGCTCTAGCGAGATAGAATAGAGATAAGCATGTTTAAGTATATAGTTAAGGTATTAGTCTTCTTTAAAAAAGAATGGGCCTAGGGTATACTACTAGTGCTAGTAATTCGGCTACATTAAGAGAGACTATAAGAACTCCCTAATATGTATAAGGTGCATATAAACAGGTTATAAGCGCTACGAGATAGGAGTAATAAAATGTGCCAATTATTAAGGAGATTATATAGTAATCGATAAGTTATATATAGAGTATAGGAAATAGTAAGAACGATCCATTAGCATGCGTTTCTATAAATAGTATACTTAATATCCTTTAAGTAAATGTAAGAAAGATGTTAGGAGTTTAGGACGCGTTATATAATAACTAGGAGTTATAGAGTTTTAATCTTATATTAATATAGGAACCACACTATCTAGACTTTAGTAATAACATACATATTATAGGAACTAGACTAAACTTCGGAAGCAATAAAACTAAAAGTCATATAATAAGATAATTAGGATAGGAGGATCCGGTTATATATCTAGGTAAGTAGAACTATAGAATACATGTAACACATAATAGCTAGTAGCGACGTTATAGCTATTATAGTGTAGAGAGTAGGCCGATACATCCTAGTTACATTAGTCTATATTCCCTATATTATCTTAGATAGGGAAGAAAACGAATAGTAACTCGTAGACCGTATATAGGACGTTTAGAGAATAATCGATAAGAAGAAGGCTATATATCTAGACCTAGAACTTATAGTTATAGGTAATTTTAACCGACACGATAGCCTATAGGGAGGATCTTATATAGCGTTAAAGCGAAGGTAAGGAGAAGGAGCTTAAATCCTCGACTTCCTAGAGTGTAATAACCTATAAGTAATTATACCGAGGGGAATAGTTATATAGGAAAGGAACGAGTAGAGGTCTACCATTAATCTAATAATAGTAAGCGAACGGCTATACGAAGACAGAATTACTTATAAAACATGGGATAACGAGTATAGATTAGATTATAGAGTAGTATATATAGCATTTTCGATAGACTAGGATTAGGAATAATAGTAAGTTAAGAGATATCTACTTTAGAAAGCGGACTAGAACGCCGTCCGTAAGATAATTACCTAGACACTTATAAGTTTACCATTTCTAACTATAGATATAGAGCAAATGTAACAGTACATTTAGAATGTAACCGAGGACGTAATTAAGTAACATTACCCTTAAGTAAAGCTATTAGTATATACGAAGAGATGGTAGACACTAGATCTAGTAGCTCTACGCTAGAACTACATATAGACACGGAACCGTGTAAGAGTAAGGCGTAGGTAAGGAAACCGGAATATAGACCTCGAAGTTATAGCGAAGATAGTAAGACACGACTTCTATTACGTAATTAAGAGAGTTAAGAAACGGTACTAGACCGAGTTTCTAGACAATACTAAGAACTAGAAAGTAATAAGATATCTAGACCTAGGTATAGGATTAAGCTTTAGTAGGATTACGTTAATTAAGGGCTAAAGTAGGGAACTAATATAAGATAAACTAAGTATAGTAAAAGAACTCTTAGCTAGCTTCTTCCTACCACCGCTAGAACCTTAGTAACTAGATAAAATTAGAGACGACAATATAGAACAGTTTATATTAAGAGGATTAATAATCGACGAGATAGAAAGAGCACTATCTATAATAAGCCCTAATCGTACGGTAGGAAGGGATAGTCTAATAACTAGAGTATAGAGGGAAGTGTAGCTAGTTCTATAATAGTAGATCTATTAGCTCTTCTTAACATCTTTAAGGTAAGGTAAACTACTAGAGTAATAGAAGGTTATAAAGATTATTCCGCTTAAAAAGGGAGGTAAGGATAACTATACGCTTCCTAAGAACTATCGTCTAATCTTTCTTCTTATAACTCTAGGAAAGATTATAGAAGTAGTAATAGTAACTAGGATTACTTACCTTACTAAAGTTTATAAATTGCTACTAAATAACCACTTTAGAGCCTAGAAACAAAAGTTAACAATCCACGCCATATTATACCTATAAGAATCTATCTTTAACGTATAGAGGGGAAGGAAAACTCTCTCGCTAGTCTCCTTTAATATTAAAGGAGCCTATAATAATGTTATAATAGAACCGTTACTACGACGACTTAGATAGAGAAGGATTCTAGAACCTATAGTTAGATAGGTATAGGATTTCTATACTAATAGAAAAGTATGTATTATAGTTAACGGGTTTATATCTAAAGTAGAGGACCTACTATAAGTAGGATTACTATAAGGGTTACCCCTAGCGCCGATCCTATTCCTCTTCTTTAACGCTAACCTTATATAGTATAAGATTAAGGAAGGCGGCTCTATAGCCTTTATAGACGACTATACGGCGTAGGTAGTAGGAGACTTAGCTAAGCGTAATATAAGAAGAATCTAGTAAGAGATACTCCCGTAACTAGAGAAATAGGAAAGAGAAAGTAGTACTATCTTCGAATCTTCGAAAATGGCCTTTATCTATTTTACTAGGAACACATCTCTAGAACGGAATAGCGACATGCTATTATAATTTAAGTAAGACACGATTAGTCCTAGCTAATCGGTTAAGATCCTAGGCGTTATTATAGATTAAGAATTACGATATAAAGAACATGTTATAGGAAAGGTAGATAAAGCTTATAAAGTAGTACTAGCGCTAAAAAGGTTATAAGGACTTAGACTATTAAGTATGTAACAACTATTCTTAGCTACCGTAGTACTAGTTATAGACTATGCATCGCCTATATAGTATCTAGTAGTGTCGGACAAAACTCTAGTAACACTAGAGAGAGCCTAAAGAGTCGCGGTATAGGCCATTATAGGAGGATTTAGAACCATGGGTCTAAACGTAGTAGTTATAGAGGTAAGCATTATAATAATACGATAGAGACTATACGAGCAAACTCTTAGATTCTAGATTAGTATCTATAAGCTAGATAAATCTTATATCCACTATAAGCTAGCTAAGTATAAGGGTAAGAAGCGTTTTATATCCCTACTATAGAAAGTAGCTATCCTATTTAAAAGCATTAAGGCTCGGTAAGTAGATAAGATCCCTACTATCGGATGTAAACTATAGGTGCTAAAACCCTACGTATATATATTAGATAAGGAATAAGCTAAATAAGCCATAGTTATAGAGTATGTAATAGTCGATTTCTATACTAACGGGTTAGTAAGAAATAGTAGAGTAGGTATCGGCATATAGACATCGACATAGGAAGTGTTAAAGCTAGTAGGAAGAGAAGAAGACACTAATGTTTATTATACGGAACTGCTAGTAATATAGATAGTAATTAAAGGCATCCTAGACGATAGGAATAGCTAAGTACGGATACGGGTGTTCTTAGATAGCTAAGGAGCGTTATAAAGCATCTAGAGTCCGAAGATTAACGATAGTATTAACCTAGTTATAAAAATTAGAGAGAAGATTAGGAAAGGAACATTTTCTCTCTACTAGGTTCCTAGACACGAAGGAATTATAGGTAACGAGAGAGCTAATAAGCTAGCCTAAATGGTAATAGAAGAATTATAACTAATACTAGCACCCGCTATAATAGTACCCATATTAGTGATTTATAATAGAGGGAAAGTAGCAAGTTTTAAGCCTAAGTAAGAAGAGTTCTATAGAGCTAAAACTAGAAAGTTCTTATAGAGAATTAATAAGGTACTACTAGGAAAGTATATAAAGAAGCTATACGACGCACTTAATAGGATAGATGCTTCTATACTAGTATAGCTTAGAACGAACATATCTAGGCTAAATACCTATCTACATAAGATTAAAGTGGCAGAAACGGATAAGTGAATGCGGAGTGTTAGAAACAGTCTAACACTTTCTATTCTTTACCTATAATAGAGATAGTAAAGATAAGACATAAAATTAGCATACGGTAGGAGATTCCGTAACATATTATATGCCCTAGGAGGATACTCTAACTATAAAGAGAATGGTAAGATTATGGATAGCGAGAAAGATAAGTAGAGACTAGATTAGCAGGTAGTAAAAGCTACCATTAAGTTTATAAAGGTAATAGGTAGACTGTAATATCGGGTGTAAGAAAGACTAACTAGTAGGAAGTGCCTAGGCACTAACTAAGACATGATTACTATCTTAGTAAAACAGTTATAGAGCAGACCTAGCAGGCGGCCTAGTAGGTAGTTCGGTAGGTAGTTAGGAAGGAAGTATAGAACAGTCTAGTAGGCGGTCTAGTAGACCGGCTAGTAGACCATCTAGTGAATAACCTATTAAAACTAGCTAGACCACTCGACCTACTAGACGGTCTAGCAGGTAAGCACTATAATAACACTGCCTCTATGTAGCGTCCGGCCGATAAGGATGTACGCGACGTAGGGAAGAGCCCTTATAGAGGAGGCTACCGGCCCCTAATACTAAGAGAAGTACGTATATAACACTCATTATAGAGGCACTTAGGAGCTATCGGCGTTAATGTTTTGCACGGTCTGCTGCGACCATTACCCTCCTTTCTACTGAATCTGACGACTACTATTAGTCAGAATATGGTGTAATTAGCGACAGCTCATACCCCTTGCGGGGTAAATAGCTTGAGAAAATCAAATCAAATCAAATCAAATCAAGCTTTAAGAAAAACATCACTACAACGTTATTTGTAGTATGGATTGTCATCCAGATGTATGTGGATGAGTTTCAGCATGCGCCGGAGGTAAAATTCTCACGTGAATGAAGATTTCTTGTATCAGGCAATGGTTGGGGAATCGTCGCGAGGTTACAAGCAGGGGGATTTGTGGTTGCCTAATGACTTTTGCATAGAAAATTCCATGAAAACTTTTGTTCGCTCACGCCTATTGCGCCTTGGACATCTATCTTCCTTGTACTATTTCTCCTTCTTGTTTTATGATCTGTACAAGCCTTGCGACTTCGGTGCTGAAAAACTTGCTTCTGAACTTTTGCGTAATCATATGTCCACTCTTTGCTGTGCTCCATCTTTAAGCCCACTTCCCGAGTAGAGCCATGATACCAGCACCAAGCAGGAACGAAACGACCATGAAGGCAAGGCGTTTGTTGTCCTTGGTTCTGTTGGGGTCGAAGATAAAGTCTCTGGCCAGTAGCTCAACAAGACCAGTGTAGATCAGGATTCCTGCACTGATGGAGTCGAGGGTGCCGCTGACAATGTTGGCAGTGAATGAGTTGGGGTTGTAAGTTGTGCGAAGACCGAGTCCGATCGCGATGCAGATTGGCGTAGTGAGACCGTATGCGATGCACAACAGCCAAGGAAGCCATCCACGTAGGCGTGCTGGGAAGGGGATATCGGACAGCCTGGCACCGATACCGAGGCCTTCGAATGACTGGTGGAAGATGAGGACAACATAGAGCGTTGAAAACTCCTCTCCAGCCACACCCAAGTTGAGGCCAATGACGACGGAGTGGAAAATGACGCCAAATTCAAGGATCAAGAAAGCGCCAAATTGTGTACGGAATTGCTGTTCCTCAACACGTGTAATGTCTGTTGTTGTGGTCTGCTCAACGTCTTTCTCATGGTAGACTGCGATCACGTCGTCAGCTAATAATTCTCATGGAGGGCCTTCAAGGGAATAACTTACCNNTTCCTCCGGATGTGGCAACTCTGCATTTGTGCGACCTGTGACTGCATCCTGCAACGAGGTGTGCTGGTGCTGTATGCCATACTTCATCTCGACGTAACGTTCTGCACATAGATCCACAAGGAAAATGACAGTGACTGATGTCAAAGCTATGGCCGGCACCCAGGAGTACTGTGCCCAGCCACCAGTCATGCCAACACAAGTATTTGGTCTGGATGGATTGTTAGCAGACTATCAAGCTGGAGACCTTGACGAGACATACCCGATCTCTCCATAAGCAGGATCAAGAAGATGGATGAAGGCAGTTGCAACAATGACCCCGGAACCGAAGAATCGTGCGAACAGATATACATGGAGGGGAATCTAATAGACACGTCGAGTTAGCGTGGTTGTGACTTGCAAGCGTAGAACAACCAACCTTNNGAGTCGCTTGACGCGCTTTGCGGCGACGGGGAACACTGTCACAAGGGTCGAGATGATCCAGATGACGAAGATGGACGAGATTCTGGCTCCGAGCTTTCCATCGTATTCGTTCCCGGATGCGTTCAAAGCACAAATGACTTGAGCCGGATCAGCAGTCAGAAGATTGACATGTTCAGGGTCAAAGCTGCTAGACGCCATGATGTACACCAAGGATTGAACAATGTCGTTTTGTATGATCGACCATGTTGTGTTGCGACAGTTGCACGTGCTTATATAACCAGCGTGTTACCAAGAGGATTTCCACCTTGATGGGCACATGGCAAAACTCTGCCGGCCGGCCACGCGGCCTGAATACGGAAGAAGATGCCGAACGAACCCTGTTTCCCCAAACCATAGCCTGGACACTTCGGTCCCACGAGAAAAACTTTTGAACGGTTCATCTTGGACGGAGCCTTGAGTGCAATCCTGCAGGGCACGATGTCTGGCCCGGAATGGGTTAAACGACACCCGGGGGACAGTCCGCGATCAAGAGTCTGTTTGCCCCGACAGCGAGACGGTGAGCGCCTCGCAAAGCAAGACTCCAGAATAAATTGAGTGGGTGTCTGTGGCGTGACGTGCATGAAAATTGGTGGGGGATCTTGGACTGCTAATTCGCGAGCTCTCCAGTGACATTAGGAACAGCATGCTAGATCCCGCCTGCGCGATGCTTCGAGCTGATCGTCAAAACTGCAAGCTGCTGCACCTTGCTTGGTTGTGGATCACCTTTTCGAACCGTTTACCTAAATGGTCGAGGAGAAGTGCAAGGTGCCATGTGAGGATGCTGAGCCGAAGCTTAGCATGCTTCATCGGGTATAAGCTTTCAAGCGGATGCGTCCCTCAACATATTTCCCAGACTCTGGTCCTATTGGCTGACCGTTTGACGTTCCAAAGCTTGTCCATCAAGGTAGATAAGCATATAGACGCGGCTTTGTCCGCAAAGGCAGGTGGCCAAAGATCTCTAGCGCCTCGAAGTTTTACTGCATGTCCTTGACGGTTCTAGGAATCGTTGCTGGTAAGAAAGTCCTCGACGAAAGAACTGATTCTTCGATGACAAAGCTGCTTGAAGGTTGAGTTGCAGTGAGGACAAGAAACCGGATGCCTTGCTCAACTACCGGTCTGTTCTGTTTCCGACTGCATCAAAGCAAGGTGATGGCAAAGGAACGCCAAAGAGACTTGAGATGATCGTTGGCCTGTGTGAAGGGCTTGCCGGCGCTGTAACATGATTCGTGAGTCTCCCACATAGGATACGGACGATTGTTTCTTTGTTTTTTGCGGTATCTGCAATTTCATGACGATGTTTTCGTATAGATTTAACGATGGAAGGAGGCTGTTCCAAACGCTCCTAAAACATTGCAGTGCTTAAGACAGTGAGTATGAGAAGAGAACGGGTCGCAATTGCTCTTCACGGATACAAACCACATCGTTTCCTGGTAGAATTTGTCACGATGGTGGACCGACCCATTGGAAGAGTGAGGAAGACATAAAAAAAAAAACAAGCAAAGGCACACGGTTTCAGACTGTGATATTCGAGTCTCAGATGAAGATGTGCACAGTGTCAGAAAACAACCAAAACATCGAGAACCATCGAGGATGTTGAGAATGCGCAGGCGAAGATTTCGGAAGTCCCGACCGTTTTTGTTAATAAACAATCTGCAAAGCAACAACATATGAGCGACCACCATCACAACAACATGTTTTACTGGTTTTGCGCATAAGTGTTGCGAGCGCGCGGTACGAGACAGTGCAATCTCTCCATTCTCTCGCCAATGTTCTGCATCCGCCGTCCGATTCATCACGCCTTGCCGACATCACAACAATGACGACTTCGTCATACCCTCGAGTCTACCGGCTTGGGTTTGGAGGCAACCAGATGTGCGTCGCATGTTCTAGTGACTTTGGAAACCTTAAGCAACTCATTGCCACCTTCCGCCGCTCACATCGTGCAACGAGCGCCATGCGCCCGAGTAAGTCTACCATCTATAGTTGGCTGCGATCGACCTTACTACCTTGGCTTAGACACTAGCCATTGTGTTAACGATTAAGACTTCTTAATACTTTATCTCTTTAGAGCTATCTATAGATCTAAATTTGTCTTTATATCTATTACTTCTAGTAGTATATAAAGTATAGAATTAAGGCTTAATTAGTTTAATTTTATATAGAAAAAGATCTAGAAAAAGAATTAATTAGTTTATAGTTTAAAAAGGTTAATTCTTTTAGTTAGTTATATTAGATTTAGATTATAGATAACTATATACAAAAAAGTAGAAAAATAGTATATATAATATATATATCTATATTAAGATAAAAGTAGTTATATTACTTAGTAATACTAAGCTATAAATAGTTATAAGAGATTATACCTTTATAATACTAGGATTTCTATATAAATTTCTACTACTTTTAATATATATATCTAATACTATATAGTACTTAGGCTCTAGAAATTTTAGAAATAGTATAAGAATATATAGAAAAAGCTATATATAAATTTTTAAAGAAAAATATAGGTATATAAGTTCTAATCTTAAGCCTAGCTAATAGGAACCATACCTAGCTAATAGGAACCATACCTAGCTAATAGGAACCATACCTAGCTGATAGGAACCATACCTAGCTAATAGAATCCATGGGTTGCACTACAGCCCGTCTAAAAAGGGTTTCGCGGGGTTATGCTTTCGGCGCTTGGCGGGGTAGAAGTGAAGTTGAACCCGTAGTAGAACCCCGATCTTGTAAGTTGTATGAACACGACTCAATATTTGTAAAACTATGGTAGAGATGAGTTAATATGATACAAAGGCAATTGCACCATTTAGATTTCTGATTCTGGCTGCGACTTGTTGAGTATCGTTGTCCAAAATATGGCAAGTATGACTTTCGAAGTTTGCCAAGAATTGCGCCCGCAACTCCACCCGACTTCTTGTAGGCATGCAAGGTCACCCCAACAACATTAACACCAAAGATCTGGGAGTAAGATATATGGTCAAATTTGTGATCTATATAGTGAACTCTTCAGTTTCTTCGTCAGAAGAATCTTGAACCACTCGCAGCAAGCGTTTAGATTTTTGCAAGTGAGGAGTAGGTTCTTGAGTGGTCCCATTGAGCGTCCGGCCTGGAACCACTTCCCGGTCACCAAATATATGTTTTTGACTTGCTCAATACCAGCCACTGAAGGTATAAGATCTGCTTTCAGACATGCTAGGGCACGAAGCGTATAGTCGCGACAGGAGTCACAACAGTTACGGACAAGTTTCGATGATGAGGTGCCATGCTTCTCGAAATATGCGTGGATCTCAGCAAATTTAGCAAACATGCGAGCGAATTCAGGGCCATCACAGGTTGTCGCATTATCAGAACCATCAGCCGATGTCACCGCTTCGTTATCAAAACTGCTTAAGGGAATTTCATCTAACAGTTGCGACAGGCCAGCAGCAGGAGACTCGCAAGGTGGAGTGACTGGTTCAATGATCCGATGGCCACGGATTCTCTTGATTCGAGACTCGCCGTCTCGGCGTACTGTATTCGTAGCTTCCGCTACGTCTTGAGGACCATTATCCAGACAATCTGTACCATCACTTGGCTCCAAATCAGGATTGGCGATAGTAAGATCATCGTTTTCTATGCGCTTTCTCTTCCGGGAACTGTCTTTTGTTCGGATAGCAGAAGTCGGCTGCTGTTGCGGTGTTGTCGGGACCACAGGCATCAGCTCTAGCACATCTTCCCGAACGCTCGAGGCGGATGCATTCATGGTACTGTTGAAGAACTTGACATCTTCTGGAATAAGCTTACGAGTCTTCAAGATTCGCGTTCGAGGAGGACGGTTTGCAGGATCAAGACGTCTCTCAATAGCACAACGCCAACCGATCACAGCTTGTTGCTGATCTGGCACGTTTGCACTAGTGATGGCCACTTCACTCAGCATTCTCTTAGATAGGTCTTTGACAGACTCGGCAGGTCTCATTGAAGCAGGAATAGTATCAAGCCAGTTGTCGCCCCATATCTCAGCAATGGATTGCTGGTGGTTCTCTTTAGACCATTGAGCAGAGGTGCCAACGACGACCATGACTTTGACCACTTTGTGATTAGCAACACTGTTAATGAAAGCTTGTTCACTACGAAGGTTTGGGTCTGGGTGAGTGTCCCACAGGTTGTTGATCTTCACCCATCGCCAGATGTAAGCAGCTTGGACACTAGCGCTCTCCGCTCGGTCGGCTGCAGCAGCAAGCAGGTCGCTCGCGGCTTGTATAGGTGAGACATCGGGACCGGGGTTGTTCAGATAGTCCCAGATCGAGACGTCAGGCTTGTCTGGGAGTCTCTGGTTGCGCAGTTCCGATTCGACATCGGCCGGCGACATCATCTGGAGCCGAGCTTCGGTCTCTCCAGCATCGGCTCTAGCTCGAAGGGATTGGTGTTGACGTTGCACTTGAGACGCCGTAGGGGCGCTCGGTCCGGCGACCGCTTGCGTGCTAGGGAAGTGCAGAGGGCCGAGGTGCAAGAGGCACCGCTGACGGCACTTGCGAAGCGTCGCGGACAAGGCGCTGTGGAGAAGCGACATCGTTCTGGAGATCCGCGGTCGCTACAGCACCGACAGAATTTGGTTCAAGTCGATAGAGAACACGTGTGCGGACATTTTCACACCCGCCATCGTTACAGTTGCAGTGACAACTACTATTCGATTCTTTGCCAAACTTATGTAGATCCACCCTGCCCGAGCAAGACAGGAAAATCGCGCAAGAGAGAAAAGCAAGGTGTAAGATAACAAAAAGAGGGGGAAAAGAGAAAGTGGAAGAGAAAGATAGTACGCTAAGCTGAATTCTGAAGAAACGCAAGAGCGTGGCGGGGAAACGCGAAGCATATATATTAGATTTGACAAGGGTGGAGGCGTCCCAGGCTTAGCCCCCGCACCCCATTGGACAGACATGTGTCCCGCTAGACCATTCTCATGAGATATCGCAAACCATCAGCAAGTAAGATGCATAGTTATCGCATGATCAGCCCACAGGTCGCACAATGCTACAAGCAAGGTTCTGCGTGTGTATTCCGCGACAGCTCTCTGATAAGAGACACTACGAGAAGGGTAAGACGCGTCGGCGAATCTCTCGCTCCGTTCTGTTTCTCTGCTCTATCTTTTCTTGCCACTATTCATCGTTCCATACGTACACTAAGCTTCTCTTATGAACGATCCAGCAAGAGAGAAAGTATACAATTATCCATCTCGACTTGCATTTAGCCAGAAGACATGGAGCTAGCATATCGGTTGACCGAATACGCTCTAGAGCCAGCCGGCGAGGACGACACAGCTAGAGTCATGACGCGTCAAGAAGGCAGTATTGAGGAGACAGAGCAGCAAGAAATCGCAGCAGCCATGTCGAACTACGTCTATCTAGCAGAGCACGAAGTTCTCATCTGCAAGGAACACGGCTACGCAGTGCGAGGCTTAGACAGCCATCTGCGCTTGGTCCATACTTCTTACACTTCTACGTCGAAGAAGGCAAGGGCTGCACTAAGACAGCATCACAGCGGACGCAACATGCCAGACCCATCCACAGTCCGTCTACCCGAGCCAGGACAGCCGGCAATTGAGTATCTGTGTAAGCCAATCCCAGGCTACTACTGCATCCACAACCAGGACAACACCGCCGGCGAACAAGACGTACGAGGGGATGCATCGACAACAACAGACTCCCCCAGTCACTGCGGCTTCACCACCAGCGACCGTACCAACATCGGCAAACACTGTCGTAATGCACACGGCTGGAAATCTACTGACGAAGACCGTCAGTGCTGGAAAGATGTCTACATCCAGACGTTTTGCAAGAGTTCAGGCAAACAAAAGTGGTTTGTCGTCAAGACACCCGATCAGATCGATAGGGAAAGAGCAAGTGTCGGAGAATCACTCCCCGAGCCAAGCAGATCCAGTTCGACGGCATCAAAGATGACTTCCAGAAGTTAAAAGAGCAATGGCAGAAAGAGCAGGAGATACTAGCAGACAGGGTTGAGAAATGCGAGAACACCGGATGGTGGAACAAGACAAGATGGAGAGAGCATCTCAAGAACTGCAATCTCACCCATCTCTCGTACACCAGCCGGCTGCCCGAGAAGGATGAAGAAGCGTTACTCAAGGTAGCAGCGGTGATCGAGAAGATGGTCGAGAGGGGTGTCTCAGGACTGAGCTCGATGCCGGAAGGCTTGCGTCGTTGGCTTCGAAGTGCAGAGATGCACAAGCCAGACGTGAGACCGCTATCCCGGTTGCAGAATCCAGAGAGTCAAGAACGGTACACCGGGTACTGGAAGCGAATGGTTTGTTACTGTCTACGAGTATGGTGCACTCGTCACGAAGCCACGGACAGCGAGTCAAGTGGCGATGGCAGCAACAATGACGATACCGAAAGCGACAGCGATGAGGTAAACAGTGTGTACAATGCTAACGCCAACACTGATGAGGTAAACAGTGTGTACAATGCTAACACCAACACTGATACCGACGACGACGACGACGACGACGACGACGACGACGACGACGACGACGACGACGACGACAATTCCGACACAGATCCACAACACGATCAAGGCAGACGGCAAGCACAAGATCACATGCACGATGCTCGGAGGCTCTTCCCATGGAACGACCAACTCGAAAGAGCATTAGAGGAGGTGTGGAGATTGATCGTTCTCGAGGGAGACACATCATCCGTAGAAGACGATCAAATCCCAGCGATGGTAGAGCTCAGTCGGGTGTTGTTGTTCAAAAGGTGTGGAACGACCGCTTCGACAGCGCTCTAATCCATTTCATGGCCGTGATGGGCATCGACGAGACCAACGCTCGGCTACGCGATGGCAACGACTACTCTTACATGATCGCCGGACTGGTGTACGTGTCCAGGATCGTGACCGCCGAAGCTCTGCTCCCATCACTCGACCGCGAAAACCAAGGGGAGGCCGACTTCGAGGCATTTCTCGAGCAGAGAAAAGAGTTTCTAGCCGACGGATCGATGAGCGTGATGGGAGAGATGTTGAGCTTGCTAGCGTACGGAAAGAAGATCGCAAAGAACTTCCACGCCCAGGGGAAGCTGCACTGGACTCACGACGGAGCCGGCGTCGCTCTCGGCAGCATCGAGTTCACGGTGTACAACTTCAAGTCCATGGCACGCTCCGCTCTAGACGATTGCGAAGACTACATGTGGAGGGATCTCATGTGGGCAGGCCGCAAGGCAGATCGCTTCGTGTTAGATCTCGATAGCATCACCGACGACATGACGGTGAAGAAGAGAGGCTGGTACTTCGGTGCCGACCCGAACCAGGATCTCGAAGCACAAGGTCTCGACTGGATGTTGAAGAGGATGCTAGGCTCGAACCAGGGGAAGAAGATGCGCAGAGGTGACCAGTGGCAGTCGAGACTGGTGGCCAACTATCTCCGGAGGGTGGACAAGTTCAGGGAGCTGTTCATATTCTGCGTGCACGTCTTGAGCGGCCAGCCCGCCAGAGGAACCGAGATCACCAGTCTGCGCTTCCGCAACGGAGTGGCCAACCACCGCAACGTCTTCGTCTTGGACGGCAGAGTGATGACGGTGACGAGCTACCACAAGTCACAAGCAATGCTCGACATGCCCAAGATGGTGCCACGCTTCTTGCCGTGGAAACTGGGTCAGATCGCGGTCATCTATCTCACCCACGTGCGGGCGTTCGCCGAGTTGCTGTCGGTGCAGGTACAGTACGGTCAAGGATGGAGTGACTACATCTGGGCGGACTCGCACGGCCCGTGGGAGACGCAGAAGCTCACCGACACGATGAAACGAGAGACGGCCAAACGACTGAAGGCCAAGCTACACACCCAGAACTACAGACACGCCGCCGTCTTTCTAGGCAGGAGATTCGTCGGACCGAGGTTCGCCAAAGGCTACCGAGAGGAGGCCGAAGATCCGGAAGAAGCCCAGGCGGGTGATATGGATGACGATCTCGAGGAGGGCAACGCGATCGAGCTACAGAAAGCCGGCGGCTTCGGCACCGGAGCCGGCAGATACGCGGTCAGAGCGGACATCTTGAAGTATCTCAACCAAGAGTCGATCGACATCTTCGGCGATCTCAGCGAAAGCTGGCACAGGTTTTTCGAGCTCGACCACAGAGATCCGAAGAGGAAAAGAAAGGCCGAGAGCAGCAGCAACAAAGACGATGGGATGCAAACCGTCGACTTTGAAGGATTGAGGAAAGAGAGATTGATCAAGAGACTGCCCGCGGCAAAAGGAGGAGCTGTTACTGTTGCCGCCACTCCGACGACAGTAGATCTCTCACCGTTCTTACAACAATCCGAAAGGCAGCAGAAGGAGATCGAAGACTTGCGGATGAAGCTCAAGGCACAAGAATTCGAACTGACAAGACTTCGAGGAGAGGAGCTGCAGCAGGGACGACAGCAACCCATGACCCCCATCGTTGGCTTGGGCATCTACTCGAACAACAACAACAACGGAATGCCGACCCCGGTGACAGAGGGAAACAGGCACGACTCACACAACGATGATGCCAACGACAAGAACGACAGCAACGAAGTCATCTACATCGACGATGACGATAATGATGACAACCACCACGACGAATCCAGGTACTCTCCAAGGTGCAGCGGCAGGAACCACCAACAGCATCTGCAGCAGCACGTAGACGACAGTCCGATCATCGAACGAAGCCGAAGAAGGCGCGAGAGGCTGCAACGCTACAGAAGACCGACGGCACAGGAAAAGGAGAGGGCTATACGCAAAGCACTCAAGAAACCAATGGACGACGACGCGGTGACGATCAGATACAGATCGAAAGCACAAGGAGAAGCGCTCGGGAGAATCATGGACGGTGGGTTCAACGTTCTCACCGTCGTTCTGCCGACAGCCGGAGGCAAGACTCTACTCTTCACCGCACCCGCTTGTCTGGAAGAAGACGTCGGGGTGACCATCGTGGTGGTACCGTTCCGCAAGCTCATCGACGAGACGGTGCGAGAAGCACAAAAGACGGTGGGTGACTGTGAAGAATGGAGTCACAGCACCGTCGATCCAGCAGCTCGTGGTCGTCAGCGTGGACAAGATGCACGATCACTTCTGGTCGTACGCACGGCAGATGGCGGAGCAGGGCCGACTGAGACGAGTGGTGGTGGACGAGTGCCACTTGCTGGTGACTTCGCACAGCTGGAGACCGCATCTCGTGGAGCTGGAGAAGCTCAAGTCACTAGGAGTACCGATGGTGATGCTGACGGCCACACTCCCAAGGTACATGGAGGTCGAGCTACGACGAAGTCTAGGTATCGGCATCGGAATGATGTCGCTCATACGAGCATGCACGGTGAGGGAGAACATCACTTACACCGTCAGACAGGACATCGGCAAAGGCAAGCTGGTCGAAGAGACGGCCAGAGTGTGCGAAGAGGTCGCCGACGAGCTACGGAGCACCAGGAAAGAGAAGGCCGTCGTCTACTGCCGAAGCAAGAAAGACTGCGAGGAGATGGCGGAAAAGCTAGGCTGCGGCTTCTTCTACGCCGGACACGTCGACGGCGGGGAAACGCTAGAGCAGTGGAAGGCGAACGGCGGCTTCATCGTGTCGACGACAGCTCTCAGCACCGGACTCAACTACGAGGCCGTCAAGGCGGTCATCCACTCGGGACTGCCATACGGACTGATCGAGTTCGCCCAAGCATCGGGCAGAGCGGGTCGAGATCCCAACGAGAGAGTGGACTCGATCGTACTGCTGGAGCAAGGGTGGGAGGAAGAAGAGCAAGGGACGCGGGAGCGTTACAACGAGGCACTCGGACCGGACGGAGCAGCGATGATGGAGTACATCAAGACGGAGGGTTGTCGAAGGCTGGTGCTAGGCAAGTACTTCGATGCGGCAGAAACGATCCAGGAGTGTCACGACAGCAGCAGCAGCGGCAGCGACAACAACAACAGCGAGACCGAGAGCGAGACGAACTGTAGTAATGGCGGCAGCCGCCAGCATCACGCCCCAAAGCTCCGTGCGACAGGTGTGGTGGTGGAATGGTGGCAGCAGGTACAGAGCTGGTCAGGCAGTCCGAGCTGGAAAAGGAGATGGTCGAAGAGGCTCTAGACGAGATGAAGCTCGGCTGTCCGATGTGTTGGATGAAGTCAGAAGAGAAAGACTCACATCTGGAGCACGGTGGCCGGGAGTGCGAGAGTCGAGAGCTGACGGTGACAGACGAGGCCGACGAAACGACAATTGTCGATGTTGACACATTCCGGAAGCAGATCAAATACGCAAAGGCGAGCAAGGCTTGCAGGAAGTGCGGCATCAACCAGAGGATGTGCAACACCAGGGAAGACGCCAAACGAAAATGCCAGTGGCCCGGCATAGCAGTACCGGTGTTGATGACAGCAGTTCGAGATCCGATCGGGAGGAACATCATCCGAAAAGCCGGCTTCGAACCGAATCGAGTGGTGGAAGAGGAGAAGGAGGGGTGGAAGGCTTACGCAGCGTGGTGCGGCCAGGCCAGAGACAGGCGGATATGGGGAGAGATGATGAGCAATTCGATGTGGGTGGTGAAGGAATTTTTGGTTTACAAGAGTGGGGAGAGGATGAGGCAATTCGATGATGGCGGTGGTGATGAGAGTCAGGAGAAGGAGGACAAGGATGATGATGATACTTCATCATTCGAGGATCTGGACATGGATGAAGACGACTTTATCATGATCGATGCCGGGACCATGGAAGCTACAACAACAACAACAACCGCCACCACGGCTAGAGCGACAGCACCAGCAGCAGCAGCAACAGAAACAGAAGTGGGAGAACGACAAGAGACCCCGGAAGCCCGAGCTACAGCCGTGGAAGAACTGGAACACAGCAGACAGATCCCCCGAGTGTCGAAACGTCCGATGTGCTCGGATATCAGCAGCAGAGAAGGGTTCGAAGCAAAGCTATCGATGTACAGAGGTTGTTGCACGGTTTGCACAGCACGATCGGGCAAGACGGAGCGCAGGCACACGTCATGGAGGACTTGTCCACTGGTCAAGACGTTAGGACTGGTAGAGAAAATGGAAGAGATGGATGGGAAACTGGCCAGGACGAAGATGGAAGGGTCGTCGGGTTGCAACAAATGCTGGAGACCATGCATGCTGTGTGAGCAGTACAAAAGAGACGGCAAAGACATGAGTTTGGCAGAGGGGAGGTACATCAAATGGAAGAAGTTGTGGAACGAAGGGTGGTGTGGACAGAAGGGAGAGATCGGGGCGATCATCGGGTACGAGAGGAACTGAGATCGGTAGCGTTAGGGTTGTTGTTCAGTTCGAGGGACGAGGTATGGGATTGGATGATGGGTGAGGGCGAGCTGGGAGAGGATGAGAATGGTGATACCGGCACGTTGATAGTGGAATGGTTAAGGAGGAAGAGCAAGGTAGGAATGAGGATAGAGGAAGGATGGATCCAGAGCAGCAAACTGTGTGATCTAATCTGGAATTGGGGCTGAGACAGGCCCTGCAGGTATCTTGAGAGAGAGGAATAATTAAAAGAGAAGAAAAGGTCAAATCTACCCAACCCTGCAGGTATCGCAAGAGAAATGATGATGATAGAAGAAAAGATCAAATGCACCCAACCCTGCAGGTATCGTAAGAGAAATGATGGAAGAAAAAGACAAGATGCCCGGCCAACCCGTAGGGTGGTGTCCCAGGGGAGAAAAAAGCAGAAGAAGAAAAGGAAAAGAAAAAACAAAAAGACGAAAAACCCGTGCAACCCGTAAGGTGTCCCAAAGGGAGAGAGAGAGAGAGAGAGAGAGAGAGAGAGAGAGGGAGAGAGAGAGAGAGAGAGAGAGAGAGAGAGAGAGAGAGAGAGAGAGAGGGAGAAAAGGAAAAGAAGAAAGATCAAAACCCGATCAACCCGTAGGGTGGCCCGAAGAAGGAGAGAGAGAGGAAAAGTGGAAAGAAAGATGAGAAAAACCCGTATAACCCGTATAACCCGTAGGGTGGCCCAAAGAAGGAGAGAGAGAAAAGAGGAAGGAAAGACAGAGAAACCCGACCAACCCGTAGGGTGGCCCGAAGAAGGAGAGAGAGAGAGGAAAAGAGGACAGAAAGATAGATGAGAGAAACCCGACCAACCCGTAGGGTGGCCCAAAGAAGGAGAGAGAGAGAAAAAGTAGGGGTAAGTAGAGGGTGGGCGGTGGGCCCGTGGTATGGAAAAGCCGGCGGAGGCAAGAGTAGAATAGGGTAAGCAGAGATAGAAGACAAGGCAAGATGCGTAGCAGCCGTAGGGTGGCCCGAAGAAGGAGAGAGACGAAAAGGGAAAGAAGAGGTAAAAGATTAAAAGAGAGACCCAACCCAACCCGTAGGGTGTCCCAAAAAGAGAGAACAGTACAAATTAGGACCCCCATTAGGGTAGAGGGTACAAATTAGGACCCCCATTAGGGTAGAGGGTACAAATTAGGACCCCCATTAGGGTAGAGGGTACAAATTAGGACCCCCATTAGGGTAGAGGGTACAAATTAGGACCCCCATTAGGGTAGAGGGTACAAATTAGGACCCCCATTAGGGTAGAGGGTACAAATTAGAAAACCCCAGTCAACCCCAGTCGTTATAGGGTCAACCGCTAGGGGTTAGGGTTAGGGTTAGGGTTAGGGTTAGGGTTAGGGTTAGGGTTAGGTTAGGGTTAGGGTTAGGTTAGGGTTAGGTTAGGGTTAG